TGGTATACAATCCTCGTGGAAACGATACTCTACTCATTATATATTACTTGTTGCGATTTCGTACACTTGTGAAAAATCACTGTCAATAATAATTAATGGTATAAGTGCATATTCGACTTGGCAAATATAGCTTTAAATTCAAAGCACACCTTTGTTTATATACTATTAATTTGTCATTCTACATGGAATCATGGTTTCGTTATATAATTTTTTCTAATTTACTCAACTATGATTCCTTCTTTATCAACGGCGTGATGAAATTAAAATGGAATTATCATAATTAGTTGTGTTAATCAGATGTGATTTAACTAGTTTTTTTACTATTGTGAAAAATAATAAATCTTTAATACCACTTTTTTTCTTTATGAAAATAAATGATTCATATAATTTTTATTATTTAGCTGATGTAATAATTATAGTCATATGAATATGAGAAAAAAATAATAAGAAATTATTTAATTTTTCTGCGAATACTTTCATACCGTTTTGAATATAAAATAAATTTCATTCCAGATTCATATATAGGTATGTGTATAAAAAACTGTACAGTTTGCAACTCTAAAGTCTAAAGTGGTAATGTGGGTCTTGACTTTTCGAGTCAAAAACATTAGGCTTGATTTCTATAAGTCTGCCGGACCTTTTTCCATTGCCCAACGTTATCATTCTATTTGCTTTATAAGATTTCTTTTTAAATAAGTATTTGTATTAACATACAATCTTAGATTTGCTCAAATAATGGACATAAAGATAAAGTGGTAAACTAATATATTATATTATTATATATATATATATATATATATGGTTAAATTAGATTCGGTAACAGCTTTTTAAATAGTTTTTAGTTAAAATACTAAAAATTACTTTAAAAGTTAGATTTTGAACTAGATTTTAGAAGTTATGATAACTTTCTTTGAAAAATAAACGGCTATCAAAATAGCTAAATTTATCGAATAGACCCTAATTATTTAAAAAAATAAAATTGAAATATGATTCCAATAATGAATTCTATTTCCATTCCATTGAGTTTCGAAAACCAGTCAAATCTACACAAAATAATGAAATACACACGTAAACAAGCCTTGAGAATTGACTAAGTTTGGATTTAAATAATTGATAAACAATGGATTTCCATTTGATAAGTTAAAAAAGAAAAGTCATAATTAGCAACTTTCAATTATCAACCTTCTTATTTTCTTTTTTTTTTCTTCTAAAATTTTCCCTTCCCACTATTTTTTTTTTTTTTTTTTTTTTTTTTTTTCTTTTTCTTTAGTTTTTCGAGAAAGAAGCCCCTTCACATTATCTTATAATTTTAAATATACATCCCTTTCACCATTTTTCATTTTACATTCACTTAACTTAATTATTTATTCGTACAAAAGACCACTTTCTCACTTCCTCTGTAACTATGATATATTTAATATATATATATATATCAGTATATATGTTTTTAATTCCTTCATTTTCTCAATAAGCTACTCGCTAGGCCTTTTGCCAGTCATAAAACTTAATTTTATTTTCGAAGTTCCGTGCACTATCTCTTTTGTGTAAGATTTATATTCTCACAATCAAATTGGTTAACTGATCGACAGATACGTTCTATCGAAGTTCAAATTTATTTTATCATTGTGAACACACTTTTCGAGAATACTTAGTTAGTTATTAAAGTTATATTTAAAGATACAAACTGATTATTTTCAAATAGAAAATTCTATGGTTTTGTACCAAGACACATATTAAGGACGGGAAAAATATATATAAATGAGTTGAACTTCCATCGTTAATAGGGTTAATTTAGGGTAAATCTTTAGGGGCTATAAATAGACCTTATGCTATTGAAATAATTATAAGGGCTATAGTAGAATTTGAACTCTTGCTTTTTTGGTATTTGGGCAACTCTCAATTAATATGCATATGGAGGAGATTAGACATACACATATAATTATAAACAACATGTTAAATCTAGGGCGACATACCAATACATAGTCTAGTGATAAGTGTATATACAGTCTGATAATATATTCAGGTTCGAATCCCCTCCCAACACTTAAAAAAACATGTTAAATCTAGAACCATTGGTGCAATGTTGACCTTACTTTAAGATTTATATATAATTCAACATTTGAATTTATGAGGTGCACTAGGAATATATTCTAACTACTTTTATAGTGAAGAAAGTTAATTTTTTTTTTTTTTTTTATTGAGGAATATAATGTGAAGATGACATTTACTATTTGGGTGTAGGCATGGCCAAATCACGGTTCATGGGTTTCATGGACCGGGAACCCGCGGTCGAACCGGCTTGCCGAACCGGAACCGCAGTCGAACCGGACCGGGACGACGGAACCGGAAACCGGAAGATTCGGGTTCGCGGTTCCGTCCAGACTATATCTCAGAACCAGACACGGCGGTCCAAGGAAACGGCCGGAACCCGGTTGGAACCGCCGGTTCTCGGCGGCTAGAACGCCGGGGTCGACCGGTTCGAACCGGCCGCGTTCTACGCCGTGTGTAACTGTCAGATTTTGAATTTTCTGTATTATTTTTTTTTTTTTTTGGGGTAATTTAGTTGTTAAAATCTCTTAATTACCCCTCCCAACGCTATAAGGCTGAATATTAACGGTAAGTTGTAAGAGGTATTTTTGGGAAAAAACGAATTTTTTGGCATTTATTACTAAATACACTGCATTTTCATTTAAAAATTAATACTAAAAAATCTCAACTCTCCTCGACTTACCTTTATACTTTAAACTACTACTACACTCTTACTTACTCTATATAACATATACTGACACTCTACTCTATAATATTCATTCTATATCTTGCTCTCTACTACTCTACTTATTACATTAATTATCTGATCCATTTTTTTATTCAAGTTCCAAATTATATTTATTATCATATCACTGGCAAGTGGAGCAAGTGGAGGAAACTCAAATTCGGGTAAGGGCAAGGGAAAAATTGGAGAATCATCTATCCCTACAAACGACATCTATGATATGATTCCCGACCAATGTAATTTTGAGGGTTTTCCAAATGAAAATTTGGATATTCCAACTCAAGAATCCGAATTTAATGAGCAATTTTAAGAAGATGAAGAGCAAGAGCAAGAGCTACGAGCAAAAATTGTTACAAGAGCAAGATAAAGTTCCGACATATTCTCCATTCATTTCACAAAAAAATTCAAAGGTGAGAAAATGTACGATATAATTTGCAATTAAATTATGTTCAATTTGTTAAGATCTTTAACAAAAATAAATGGAATTCAATAATTTAATTTTTTAAGTGTTTATTTCTAATTTTTTATGTTCCAAAATTTTTTTTTCAACCATGTCTTCAAAATTTAAATTTTTGTTATTGTCTAGTGTTTTACAAATTTTTTATGGTTGAATTAATTTTTTTATTACACCGTTCTGCAGACTTTAAACATTTTGTAGGTCGCTAATTTTTCATTCGTTTTATGTCTCAAAAAAGAAATTTTTTTAAATTTTTTACGGTGTTTTTCATTTTTATTAATGTTCAAAAAAAAATTTTTAAACCGCGTCGTTCCAAATTTTCAAAAATGTAAACATTTGCGATTCGCCGGAAACCGATCGGAACCTCGTTCTGTAGTCGGATCGGAACCGGAAGCGGAACCGGACCGGAAAACGACGGTTCACCAAACCGGAACCGGAACGGTCCTGTACGGTTCGGTTCGGAACCGGGACACGCCCGGGTCGCAGGAACGTGGCCAAGCCTATCTTGGCGTGGTCTAAGGTGTACTTTTCTTTACTTAATGACACAAACACTTATTTTTCTTTCCCTTCTTAAAACAATCAATCAAACATTTCTTTTTCAAAATTACGGATGAATCTTGTGTAGGTTTTTTTTTTTCTTTTTTTTTTTTTTTTTTTTTTTTTTTTTTTTTTTTTTTTTTTTTTAATGTATTAGGAAAGCTTGCTTGTTTGATTTCAATTTCGCTCAAGTTTAGTAATTTGATCATTGAACAAAAAAAAAAAAAAATCACGTTTAAGGTTCTATTACCATTTAATTACTTATAAAGTTAACTAAAGTTAAAAAAAAATATTTTTTTTTTCTTATGCATCAATACTAAAACCAAGAATAAATTTATTTACCAATTGAATTATGACTTTATATATAAAAATTGAAAATTAAATTAATTTCATGCTTTTTTCATAATGAAATCTTCTGTTAATGATTATTTAGTATCAATTTCTAATTTTGTGGATTCCTGAAGTTTTTTTTATTGATTTAACTTCTTTTGCTGATAAAAGAAAATTTCTAACTTTGCCATCTTGCCATTGACTTGCACTAGCACGACATTGAAAAATATTTTTATTGATTTAACTTCTTTTGCTGATAAAAGAAAATTTCTAACTTTGCCATCTTGCCATTGACTTGCACTAGCACGACATTGAAAAATAATAAAAAATATTTTTAATTGATTTTGGAATATAATTAAGATTATTCAAGACCACAATAAATTTAAAATAATTTATAAAAAATAATTTTTTAGTATATTTTTCCTTAAAAAAATTATTTTTAAAAGATAAAATAAATTAAAACAAGTTTTAAAGACCAAGATATGACTCTTTTAAAATCCAAAATTAATCCCAACAACATGATTCAAATCTAAAATGTGAGAATAAAATCATTTAAAAGTAATGGAAAATAATTTGATAACATTATTAAAAAGAAAAAATGACGCTTATTATCTAATCCATAATATTATTTCGATTTATTTAATTTTATACAAATCAAAATACATAATTTTAATTAATAAATTGTTGATTGAAGTGATAAGCGAATCGATCATTATAATTCACTTTGCTGTGAAGATAAAAAATTATAAGAACAAAAAATCTTTACGCTATATGACCCGTTAGGAATTAAACCTATTGCTTATATAAAAAAAAAAATCATAGCTATAATTGAGATTTTATAAAGGGTGAGGTAAGCCACTTGCTTCTCACTTTGAGCCTACAAATCTTAAATAAAATCTTTCCCATCCTAAAAAGCAATGTTTGATATTTCCACTTGTTTTGATTTATTTAGTCCCATAAATCAAACCATCTTAATCCCTCCGTCATGTGACTTTCCCCTAGCTGGCAAAACTACTTGACTTAAAAAGCTCTCTCAATACTCTTTTTCTTCCTATTCACATAACATGCAATAAAAAGCCTACACCTTCCTCCTCCTCCTACTACCAAAGCCTCTACCAATCTTGCCAATGGGAACTCTGGAAGTAGAAACACCTTACTTCGCCGCTGCCGCCACCAATGTCACGAAACTCTCCGACCCAGAAAAACCCATCAGCGGCGTTGAAGAAGACGACGACGTTTCACCTATTGAGGAGGTCCGGCTAACTGTTAATAACACCGATGACCCAACCTTGCCTGTTTGGACCTTCAGGATGTGGTTTTTGGGCTTACTATCATGTGGGCTTCTTTCTTTTCTAAATCAGTTCTTTGCCTACAGAACGGAGCCTCTTGTAATTACACAAATTACAGTTCAAGTGGCCACACTTCCTGTTGGCCATTTCTTGGCTGCTGTACTTCCTAAGACTCAGTTTCGGATCCCAGGTTTCGGGTCAAGAAACTTTTCTTTAAACCCGGGTCCGTTTAATGTGAAGGAGCATGTGCTTATTTCCATTTTTGCTAATGCTGGAAGTGCTTTTGGATATGGATCTGCTTATGCTGTTAGTATTGTTACTATTATTAAAGCGTTCTATAAAAGGAAAATCTCTTTCTTGGCTAGTTGGATTCTCATCATCACTACCCAGGTAATGATAAGTGGTGTTTCTTGATTTTCATGTTTCCTGGAAGCAAAAAAAGTTTCTTGCTTTTCCTTTTCTTGTTTTAACAAGTAAAGAAGCGAGATTATTTCATTTGAAGGCAGAAAAAAACATTACTTGCTTTTTTTTTTTATTATTATTTGTCTCTCATAGAGAGGGACAAACTAAAAGACAGGCTGAAGATAAACTCGATTTTTGATAAATTATATATCAAAGAAGCAAATTATAAATTATTTCTACTTTTTTAATAGTATTTTAAAAGTGGAATTTGATTCGTTAAATTATTGCAACACACAGTTTAGTGAGATGATTTGGTTTCTAATTTATAATTAAGTGAAGAAATAATAATTGGAGGTGGGTGGATGAACGTTAGGTACTTGGATACGGTTGGGCAGGGCTTCTGAGGAAATATGTAGTGGAGCCTGCACATATGTGGTGGCCAAGTACTTTGGTTCAAGTTTCACTCTTCAGGTATTCCTCTCTTTCTTCTTTTCACTATTTTTTAATTATCATTATCTTTCTACTTGCACGCCAATCATCAATTATAGTGGGATTATATTTTTTTCTAAAACAATCTCACCTTTAAATCTTCTTAATTAAAAAAAGCAGCTGTGAAATGAAAGTGGGTTGGGTATCCGTGAAATTTAAACTAATCATGTACGTATCATTTAAAATTTTACTATCTTTATTCATTTAAAATCTGTTTAAATATCTATTTAAATATTCGTATTTAAACCTATTTAAATTTTTACCATCTGTATCCATTTAAAATTCATTTAAAGTATTTTTATACAGGTAAAATATCCGTGAATTTTAACTATTTAAATCTGAACTAATTTGAAATATAACTATTACTAATAATTGATAGAATATTCATGAGTGTCTAATAGCGGATAACGATTGATAATTACCCAAAGATGATAGTAATGTTCCATTCTATTCTAAATTCAGTTATAACTATCGAAGTCGGGCGGATATTCTAAATAGCCGCACAGCCTCCATCCCTGTGGAACCAATATTCAATATTCCAAATTAAAAGGGACAAATCATAAATTTTTTGTACCAATTTCTAGAGTAAATTTGAAAATTTTTTTTGTGGTCTAGGGGACGATGTCATGATGATGTAATAATAATAACAATAATAAAAGATCAATTGTAGAAAATGACAAAGGGAATCTTTGTGTGACCATAAACTAGTGGCTAGATACAAAAGAGTTGTCAATTTTGTTTTGCTTATTTATCTTGAAGGCATTTGGATAAAGTCAGTCAGCTAGAATCTTCTGACAGGCCAGTCGTCAGCAATAGCTGATTATCTGTTCATTGAAACGCGATTCCAGAAATAAGAACAAGCAAGTCATTCCAAAATTACTCACAGTCTCGTTTGGCACTTACTGAAGAAAAAAATAAAAGGATGATAAATGCATTCTCCCTCACTAAAATTTGTAAAAAAATACATAAATCGGTTCGGTTCAGTTTAAAAATACCTGTAAAATTGAGACAAGTCACAGTCTATGATATACCATGTGAATAATTCATAATTGCATAAGGAACTTTTCAAAGTTAAATCAGATTTTTTCTTGATGGGTAAAATTGTCTTTAGCTGGGTATTAGGTTTGATGGTGAAAGGAAGATCAAATTTGGTGGGGCCCGCTTGTCAATATAATTGAAATGCCAATTTCTTTCCTTCTTTTGTTTTTTTTCTTTCTTAAGCTACTTGTTCTAAAAATAAACCACCGTGTGGGAGTGGGACCCAGTTGATTGTGATAAGCCTCATCCCACAACATTGCATAAAATGAGGACCTTATTTATTAATTAATTAATTTTAGATTTGAGATAATCCTGATTTAATAAAGCCCTCAAACTATGAAAAATATGATAATCACCATAATTTTTGTATATTTTTTTTAAAAATATTATCCCCCCGCCCCAACCAAAAAAAAATTTCAAAATTTTGTTTTCTCACTTATATTTTATAAATTCTCTTAAACGAAATATAAGTTTGACCACTAAATTCTCTAGAATTTTATTTGTTATTCATATATTTTTAAAATTATAATTATAATACACAATTTTGGAAATTTGTTCATATTCCCCCCCCCCTTATTCCCCCCCCCCCCCCCCCCCCCCCCCCCCCCCTCTCCCCCTCTCTTTTTTTTAGTTCTACTTTTTTTGTCCTTATTCTTGGCCTCCCATTTTTTCAAGTCTAGTTTCAACCTAGCCTTCCCCTTCAGCAGTTATGGATTTACCAAAAACGAAAGCTTTTCTTTTCTTTTATTTTTTCCCCTCTCAATGTAATCAGGCTAGTGCATTCCTTATATTAAATAAATGACAACCATCACTCACCTTGGACAAACAGAGGGATGTTTCAAACTACCTAATCATTTACTTCTGTGTACCTCTCTTGCTGCTATCTCTATTCAAACTTAACAAAACTGAATTTACTTTGATATGTTCAATTTGCAGGTATGTTTCCAGCACTTGGCTAGCACCTATAACAGATAATGTAATTAGACAATGCCCATGAGCCAATGTTTTACATAAGTCTGGTATAATTTTGCAGGGCTTTACATGAGAAAGATGATAGAGATCAACGCATGACACGAGCCAAGTTCTTCCTAATTGCACTTATATGCAGCTTTTCCTGGTATTTAGTTCCAGGGTACCTATTCACAACACTTACAAGCATTAACACTTACAGCTTCGTGATGGCTTGTGGGTGTCGTTCAAAGTCAGTACACAGACGAACCTAGGCTCAGGCATGAGGGCTTCTTGACATGGGAGCCACGGTGACGCTTGAGCTGACTGCAGTCCTTCCTTCTCTGTTCAAGCGCCTCATTAGCCTTTCACTTTGACCATTTTCAAAATGTTTTTTGTGGGACAATGTTTTTGTGGGATATGTGTTGATAATTTACATTGCCATTCCCATTGCTTACTGGGGTCTAGACTTGTACAATGCACACAGATTTCCAATATTCTCTTCACATTTGTTTACAGCTCAAGGAAATAAGTATGATATACCAGCTATAGTTAATGACAAATTCGAGCTAGAACTACCGAAGTATGAGGAGCAAGGAAAAATTCATTTAAGCATGTTTTTTGCTCTGACTTATGGCTTTGGTTTTGCGACCATTGCATCGACTCTTACCCATGTGGCTTTCTTCTATGGAAGGTAATCTTTTACTCACAAAATCATTAGTTGAGTTTCTTCATTTCATTTCCCCCAAGAGACGCTCTTAGAAGCTTCTTCAGCTTTTTCAATTGTTTTTCATTAGATATGTATTCAAACTGCAAATTTGTATCTGCATAGTATTCATGCATAGTATCATGTTCTGATGTATCCACAGGGAGATCTATGCAACATATCGTGCTTCTTACAAAGAAAAGGAGGATATCCACACCAGATTGATGAAAAGATACAAGGACATTCCTTCCTGGTGGTTTCACTTGTTATTGGCTGTGACACTCGCAGTTGCTCTTGTTCTCTGCTTAGTCTTGAATGATCAGGTTCAAATGCCATGGTGGGGACTCGTCTTTGCCAGTGCTATGGCTTTCTTCTTCACACTCCCAATCAGCATTATAACTGCAACAACAAACCAGGTAATTTATTGAACTTTTACCCTAACTTGGAAATCTAAATCTGAAAAAAGTTAAAAGATTAAAAAAAAAAAATTCCTATACTGCACGGTCTCCCAGAAGTTCTCATGCATTCTCCCAAAGGATAAGGTGCTGCTATGTAATGGGTTTTGGCATGCAATGTTGGTACCAGCAGTGAAGAACCTCTTGTTTGAGAACTTTGGCCTCAGTTCAATGGATATAGTGGCCATTCTTTTCCCAATTTCATTCTCTACACAAACTTTCTTTCTGTCATCATAAACAATCTGATAATTCAGTGTATAGACAAGGCTTAACATAATCAACGGAGCTATGATGGGTATTCATATATCCAGGAAGAACCACTTGCCAATGTATGGCTTCAAACACGTCATGGTTATAATGAGCAGGGGCGACAGCCGCTGGTACTCCAGTCCTACAAAACGATTTCAGATAGACACTACATGAGATCCTCCAAGATCGAATGTTTTGTTCAGGTACATTTTTCTGCCAATCTTGTATCAAAGATCTTGCCAATCTTGTATCAAAAGCACGCAAAAAATAAAAGGGCAAAATCTGTGGAATCCAGTTCAATGTTATAATTGAATAAACATTTGTTAGAAACTCTTCTACCCGAATGACCTTGCACAATTTAAAGTGTGATATTTACAGTATTGAAAAGACAAACCCTTGATCTCATCTGCTTCTTCTGCTTCTTCTTCAGGAGAATAGCAGATATGGTAACTCTTCCTACGTCAATCGGAATCATCTCTAACAATTTTGACTGTACAAATGTCATGCTTTCTTCCACATTTTAAACCCTGCAATTGATATCGATAATTTTCCTCCCATGCTGATGATGGAAATTCAAATCTTACAGTAGAATGTAAAATGCTGCATTTTATAACATTATGTTAAAATTCATGTATAGCCAGAGCATCCCACGTCTCAGAATGAGTTTCACCAAAATATTTTGCAAGGAAATCGTCTAATCATGGTTTTTGGGCATCCTGAATCATTTGGTGATGAAACTTCTAACTTACAACGCAAACAATCAACAGCAGCAAATATTTTTTATTGTTTGGTTTTACACTGAATCTACCGCTTCGAGTTACAATCACTAACATTCTATTTCTATGTTTCTTTTCCCATGGAAATGTGTAGTTCATTGGAACAATTCTCGCTGGAACAATCAATCTTGCAGTGGCATGGTGGCTGCTGAACTCCATTCATAACATATGTCAGGATGATCTGCTTCCGCCCAACAGTCCTTGGACATGTCCAGGTGATCGAGTCTTCTTTGATGCATCTGTCATATGGGGTTTGGTGGGACCTAAACGGATCTTTGGAAGTCTTGGAAACTATCAAGCCATGAATTGGTTCTTCCTTGGAGGTGCAGTGGGACCACTTATAGTTTGGGTGTTGCACAAATCATTCCCCAAGCAATCTTGGATTCCCCTGATTAACCTCCCAAGCAATCTTGGATTCCCCTGATTTAACCTTCGCAGTTCTTCTCGGATCACACTGGAAATATGCCTCCATCCGCAACAGCAAGTAAACTAACAATTCCTGGATCATAGTAGGAAACAAATTTTCATATTTCTTTCCTTTCGTCTTCCGCTACCGGAAGCATTGGTGGCAGAGGTAATAAATTACATTCTTTCCAGTCAGCATGGATGCAGGGGTGGCCTTCATGGCAGGTTTTTTATACTTTTTCATGGGTAATGGAAAATAGAAGTTTAAAATTGGTGGGGCAACAGAAGGCGAACACTGTGATTATAGCAACCTGTCCAAACAGCCAAGGGGGAATAGTGGTTTGATGGTGTCCAGTGAACTAATTGTAAATTACTTCCTTCTATTGCACGTTTTCTGTTTTAAAGTTAAAAGTGTTTGGCATAGTAATAGAATTAGAATATGAGAAAAAAGTATAATCAAATATCAAACTAAGGAATTGGAGCAATTGTTAACAAACTCAAGGCTTTATATGAATTATAAATTTTCTAAGTAAAAATTTAGCTTCTAAATATAAAGCACAAGGTCCTATTACAAAAATAGATTGTAAGTAATCCAGGGAACATGATTCAAGTTTGAACTCCTAAGGATAGAAAGGTCTTAATTCAGATTGAGTTTCTTGACTCATCAACCGACATGCAAACCCATTACACCATGCTTTGATGGCAGTGAATAACTTGCTCGCACAAGAGTCCACTAACATAATGATTAGAGCATTTTAACAATAATGCTTCATACCTTGATCTAATCATGATAGTTTATTTGAGAGCCACTGATTGTACTCATCCATCCGTATGATGAAGGAGCTGGAACTCAGTGAGCCACCTCCACCATATGCCTTCACGTTCAGAAAGTTAAATGGAATTCACTTTAGGATTCAGCCAAATAATCAGAATAAACAGTTAAAATTTCATGGTTTTTCAAGGTGCATACCTTTGCAATTTCTGAGGTATCAGTAGCAGTATCTGCACTCCTCAAGCACATTTTAAGATTATTTCGTTGCATGTAGATAACAACTCCTATGGGCCTGATAAAATTGACGTATACTATAATGAAAATTATAATGGGAAAATGATAGACTTTGATAGCATACGTAATGCAACAGTTAGCGAGACACTGTGTGATAAAGCAGCAAGATTATGAGAATTTAAACATGAAAAAATCACACATACAAAATCAAGTCTGTCGACCAATAACATATTAGAATTTAAGTCAGATAACATATTAGAAATTTACAGTCAGCTCTATGTTAAATGAAAAACTGCCCCAATATCCCACACTATAATCAATGGGAATTTCGAAACAATACTATGACTGACAACTAAAAGAGAGAATTTTGTCTAGATACACAAAAACACATTACCTTAGACCAGCTGCAGCACTTTTTACGCTAAGCTGCCTGCCAATTTCATCAGCTAAGTTGGAATAGCCATCTGCTCTAACTCCCTGTAATCAAGGAACAGGACTAATAAGATCACATAGAAGTTAACACCAGGAAGAAACTGTAGGTCAGGTTTAGAAACTCGAGGACAGAAAGAGAGAAAAGTGATGGAATACATCAAATGTTAGGTTAAAAATAGAATAAGAAGAAGAAGAAATGTTGGGGCATGGTTCAATGGTAATCAGGAAAGATTACTGCAAAAGATGATTTGAGAATAGAGATTTATAATACCAGGCACTCCCCATAAAATCCTCTACCCAGTCGAACTTTAAAAGCTTTATCCAGCAACTTGCTTGCAGAACTCTGACGAGAGGAAAAATAAGAATTTCCCTTGGCGATTAAATCGGAGGAACTTATCTCCAGTAACTACTAAATGGAAATTTAAAGAAACTTTAGTTATGATTAATATATTGGAAATGATGAAGAAATATGAAGAGAGGATGTTTCAGTTTTTTTTTTTATATATATATATTTATTTTAAACATCTTCTAGAAATATTCAAGCTTTCAAGCAATTGCAATATATATATATTTTAAACATCTTCTAGAAATATTCAAGCTTTCAAGCAATTGCAGTAAATAATACACTGTTTGTAACTCAAATTTTGACATTTAAAGCATATTTCCATTCTTCTGCTAAGTCAGAATTAAATGACTAAACTAACTGTTGTTCACTTTAGGGCTTCTGTTTCATCCAGCTTAAAGAAAAATGTTAAAGGAACCTCCTAAAAGATTGTCAATAAAATTTGATCAAGAAATAGATCTCACAAATAAAAGTTATCCAACTAGTTATCATTTGATGCAATTCCTTATAAACTATACTCCACATCGAATTCTCTTTATGACATTCATTGGGCAGTATTATAGATAGTACGACAGTCTACCATCGCCAATAACTAGATACCCTAGTAACAAATTATAGAACATACCTTCATGAATCAAGCAACAACTAATTTCCCACAGAAGATTTCCCGAAAACTAATGCATTCAGTTAATCACTTCCTACCTTTGATATTATAATCACTCAGAGTTACTGAGCCTCAATGCTAATTTCTAGATTCAAAAATCTAACTTCATTAACAGCTGATGACTTGCGTGCTGATTATCTCCAAATTTTATTTTCTTTATTACCTCTACTTTCCATTAGCCAAGCCAACAAAAACTTTAACCTAACCATGCAACAAAGGATTGCAGTATCATACAAGCACACTAATACAAACATTTAAGATTCCCATTTAAATATATAACCACACACACATAAAAATTAGACAGGAAATATAGGGAATATTTCAAACCTTTTCAAACATATGTGGGTTAGTAACACAATATTTCAAACCTTTTCAAACATATGTGGGTTAGTAACACAATTTATCTTTGAGCGCCATTCACTTAGTCCCATATTAAATGCTCCAATGTCTGGCAGACTCCATCGCCGAAGATCTACATCTTCAATGTGCTCAAGAACATCTTCAATCTGCACTTGTTCTTCTGGGTTTAATAATCTGGCAACTTCCCCCTTGTATTGATCAAGAGAAATGAACTCTCACTTTAATATAAACGTATTTTCCCCACTTAAAATGCCAAAAAACTAAAGCACAAAAGAAATAGTCTCTCTGCAACTTACATGTGAAGATTTCATATCCACAAGTTCGTTAGAAAAATATTCATATACAGCTGTAGAGCTACTCTTCTCAATATCAACATAAAATGTAATTTTCTGTTCACAGTCTTCAGTAGATGGAATTTTTGAAAGTACTGATTTTCGGTGATCGAAACCTATTACCCTATAAATTAAAAACCCATTAAATTTAACCTCCATAGCATAACATTCACAAAACAAAATGAAACAATTGGTGCATTGCAGGACGAATTGATTAATACTGCTAGCTTACTCGCACATTGATTGTCGTGCAAGACTGGAAGCAAATCCAGGGGGGCCAAGAAAATCAAGCAAGTAACATCTTTCAAGTCCTTCAAAGTTTAAATCTCCAATCCTATAAGAAGCCATAAATTGGTACAAATTCAAAATCTATTCAAGTATATTTATAACATTTTCAAAGTGGCATTTGGTTACCTGAGAGGCTCAATGGAAGAAAAAGGCAAGATGAGGGAAGGAAGATTGAGGCGAGAGTGGAAGATACGAGCAAATGCAGCAGAAAAAGCTCCGGAGAAAGAAGGGTAGTTGTACAAGACCATGTTTGGGACCTTCTCTTCTCTTGCTTTCGCTATTGCTTCTAGGGCAGCAACTGATCGAAATCCATGAGTTCCCAGTACAGTTTCCAGAATTGAAGCTTCCCTCAAGGTAACGAAAGGTGGCTTCCATCTCCATTTTCGAGACAGCGTGGAGAGAGCCATCGAAGAACTGTCCAATAACTGGTGCTCAAAACGGTATCGTTGCTGCTGGTGCATACGATACGGAGGGGAATTGGTGAACTTTACTAGAGATATTTACATGGGCCAACCAGTAAGGCCCACACCAAGATTAATTAGTACTTATAGGGCTGGATCCAGCCCAATTTCACTTTTTATTTCTTTTCCCTTTTATTTTTTTTATCGTTTAATTAAGACACTCCAAAGTCCATTTTATTTCTAGGCAAGTAATTTCCTTTCTCTTGCTACATCAAAATTCTTCTTATAGTCTCAGTGTTAGCAAAACTGTCTCCAGAATTGTGGGATTGAGATAAATGTGTAGTTTATAGTACATTGGTGCTGTCTCAGACACACATTTCAACCATAGTAAAGGGCACCTTTGTGCTGTCTCAGACACACATTTCAACCATAGTAAAGGGCACCTTTGGTTACTTAGATCCTGAATATTATCGACGCCAAAAACTAACAGAAAAGTCTGATGTTTACTCATTTGGAGTGGTACTTTTTGAGATTTTATGTGCTAGGCCTGCTGTGATGCCAATGGGAGAAATTGAAGATGAGGAATATGAGAAAGTAAATTAGGCAGAATGGGCATCAAATTGCTACCAAATGGGGACTCTTGATCAAATAATTGATCCATATTTGAAGGGAAAGATTGCCCCAGAATGCTTCAAGACTTTTACCAGTATAGCTAGGAAGTGTTTAGCAGATAAAGGAAGTGAAAGACCGTCCATGGGAGATGTGCTTTGCAATTTGGAGCTTGCAATGCATCAGCAGGATGCTGCTGATTTACTAGAGGACATGGCTCAAAAGGTGGCCAATGGGAGGATGAATGGTGAAGTTACAATAAGTATTAATAACGAACAATGCATTCATTTGTATAATTCAGATAAAACTCCAGGGGTGGAGTTTTCTGAGATCATGGTTCCCATGGGACGTTGAGGAGAGACTCATTGTCAACTGAGATTCCCAGTCCATTGAGCTAAGCATCACTTATGTATGATACAGATAATAAGTAAATAGTCTACCTATGAACGTGTCTTCCTTTTCAATTCCTCATTCTTTATCAGCTAGCTAAATAAAAATTCCAACCATATATGCATGATGAGAAATTATTACTCCAGTGAATACAAGAATTTCACATACGTAAAATACCTTATTTTATGTTTGGCCAAATGGGTAATGTGTAATGACTAAAAATTCCAAAATTTTGACCTATCAACTGCCATAAAATTCCAAATTTTTGACCTATCAACTACGATATATTTTTCTTTCTTGAATCAATATTGACTCCTACTTTTAGCACTCAATGAATTATGGTCAGGTCAGCCCATAAGATATGTACCAAAACACCTCAAATGCTTATAAACTAAAAAGATAGAGCAATATAACAACAAAAAAAAAAAACAAATTTTTGTTTCGTTTTTAAACAAAAATTTTAAACAAAAATTTGTTAGAAACACTAATAGCATTTTAATAAATTTAACAATTATCAAACATTATAATAATACATCAATAAGTGTATATAAAAATAATAATAATCCGAAGTTCCAAACCAAGAGAGCCAACTAATGTGTCCCTGCTGTTTCTGTATTAGCCATAATACTCAAATACATATATAATTCAGAAAAAAAAAAAAAATCCAATTATCAGATTTACCAAACATAAACAAGTAATTTCCTGGTAGGATGCATTATGCTATTTTCACAGTAAAAAATACGAATACCAGGAAAAAGAAAAAGAAAAACTCTACCGAATGGAACATAATTAAATCAAGAAGAGAAGATGTCTTGTTGGAACCTGAGGAGTTCAATGGAAGAATGGAAAATGGAAGCAAATGAATCAAAGAAAGCTCCTGAAACTGAAGAATAGCTTTTCTCTACAGTGTAAAACTTGGCTTTTCTTAACATTTACTTGTTCTTAAAATTGCTTCAAGAGAAGTAGCAGCAGCTAACCGTAATTTGAGCGATAAAGCCATCGAAGAAATCCCAAAACAAAATCACTTTTTATTATGGGAGATTGGAATTGGTTTTTATTATGGGAGATTGGAATTGGAGTGGGTTTGTGAGTGAGACTTGCATTTGGTTGAAATGGGCTGAATCCAAGCCCAATTAAGAGTTCTGAACAAAAGATTGGAGGCCGAGCTAATTACTTTAAAGTTGTTAGGGAAAAAAACAATATAAAATGCGACACTTTATAATTAAAATAGATTATAGTTTTTTTTTAATAATTTTTAATTAATATAAAAACAATATTTTTTTATTCCAGAAGAAATGGAGATTTTATAAGTGTAACAAGATCAAGTCATCTGTTCGATGATGTTATTATTACTATATGTTTTTTTTCTAAAATGGATGTTAATTAAGGTAATAATCAACAATTCTGAAATAAAATTGCAAATCCTCAAATGCAATAATGTTAGAATAAATTAATTAAGGTACTAAACTAATATCAAATAAAGCCAATTCAAAGCTGTCCATATCAGAAAAGAAAAAAAGAAAAATCTATTAAGTATTAACTATCACCTTCCAATTA